CCAGACGACCAAATAGCTGCTTTAATCCAGAAGTTAGCGCTGTGTTTTAGCTATTAACAAGGAGCTCTGGATGTTAGCTTTGTGTTATCAGAAATGAGGCTGAATGTTAAACCTGAGCTCAAAGCTAGTGTCTACTTTAGTTAATCTAACATGTGTCTTAGTTTTTGTCTAAACTGTGCAGTATATCTATGGCTGAGATTGCTTTAGCCTTGGTTTGCACCTGCTGAGGGGAATGTGGAAATCTTGCTCAACAAAAAGCAGCACCTCACACCTTTTATGGTGCATTGTGGGGATTTTAAGAAAATTGCATCTGAACAACTTTGACAATGAGGCACCTTAAAAATATCTGATTCCCCAGCCAGCATCCCAACAGGGACATAGCAACAGAGTGAGCTAGCATGATAATCTACTTGTCTTGATATACTAAACACTGTAAAATGACCATTAAAATATCTAAAATTAAATATAAAATGACACTCCAATGACATCCCAGACAGATCACCTGTTAGCCATCTAGAATGGAAAACCTTGTGGATTTGCCTTGTTAAGGACAAATGTGGACAAAACCATATTTAGGATATTTTTTAAATCCTACATAAGAGTTGAGAGTTATCTCAGGGATACATTGGATGACAGTGATGAAGCTGGCTAGGCTATGAAGACAGCTCACTTGCTCAGTCTGTTGACACAGTTTATTGAAATAACCCAACCATAGTGCCTTTTTACTGGACAGTGGCTTACAGGGTCCTGGCCTTAGGGTGTAGGTCTCCAGGCTTCAGGTGTTTGGACTCAGAGTTCAGGATTCAGGATTCAGGCTCCAGGCTGCTCTGCCCACCAATGCAGTGCACCGCTCACCTCTGGATGCGGGTCGCGCGCCCTCACTCCGTTCAAAGAACAAGTCCTGTTGCTGTTGTTTTTTATTCTTTTTTTTTCTTTTTTCTTTCTCTCTCCTCCACATCCCCACGTTCCTCGCGCTGCCACTTCCGCTATAAAGCTGTTGGCGGGCTGCCACGCGGCCATTAGCACGCGCAAGAGCGCCGTTAACAATGTGGAGCCCAGACGGGCAGCCTGCGCGCACACAGGGCCCGGTTCACGCAAACAAACGTGTTTCAATGTTTCAGTGTCTTATTGTTCTAAAGCACCGCAACAATTATTATTATTATTATTATTATTATTATTATTATTATTATTATCATTATTATTATTCATTTCAAAGCTGTGATTTTTTCTCTTTCTGTCCGTTAGGTGAATTACAGGCATCAGGTAATGGAGATAAACATTTTAAGAATCATGTTCGCTGTTATTTCAGCAGCTGCTTAAATTGTAACTAAATAAGCAAAGAGAAATATGGTGAATCTGCTGATTACATTACAAAGTACACTTCAGTAAGACTCTGAACAGAAGCCTGGCTTTATTACTCAGAGCTCTGTATTACTCAGTACAGTGGCAGATTTAACCGGAAGTCGTGAGCTAAACGTTTGTCACTGCAGCATTTTTTGAAAGGCAAAAAAGTGTCGCGCGCCTCTGTAATTGCGGCAGGTGGGGCAGGAAAGGAGCATCAGGGCAGTGATATTCTAGCCACGTAAAGCCTAATATCACGTACAGAGCCCCGCGTTTAGAACCAGGAGAGAGAAAGACTGAGAGAGACGAAGCAGTCAGAGAGAAACAAACGCAGCTGAGGCAGAAACAGAGCCGATCACAGGGGCTTCTGTCTAATACAGCAAATCTACAGACACAGGCGCACATCGCTCAGCTGCACACATAAACGGCCAAATTCTGGAAATGATCAACTTTAAATAATTACTTCAAATTTTGGTGTCGTGGATAGAAATCTGAGCACAATATTAACATCTGAATATCTGTTTAAAACCAGAGCGAAACTGAATAAATTCAGCTTTTTGTGAAGAGTGTATTATTATTGTATATATTACAACTGCATAAATGTTTTATTTTACTGCCGTTGAAACCTCTAAGTATTCCTGCCTATACGATAATAATAATAATAATAATAATAATAATTGCGTCGTGAAAAATATGAATTCATGTTAAATGCGTTTGATTTTGAGACTTGCTCAAACATTGCGACATATTATAGAAAAAAGAAATGAAAAACAGACTGGCTATTTAGGGATGTGTTAGAATGTAATGTGTAATTCGATAAACCATATTATTTCATATCGAAAAAAAATTAATGTTGGTCTTCTCGCTGTAATGACGAGTAACTTTCAGGCCAGCATGGTTTTCATTTTTGTAAAATCTAGAGTTCGCCATATTTGATTTAGGCAGAGGAAGTGCTCGGTTTGAAATACATTTTTGCTTCAAATAAATAATCTGTTCATTAAATAAACCGTCTGTTTTAGTCTGTTCTATCAAATAAAGAATCTGCTCGCTCAGTGCTCCGCTTCAGCACTACTGAGTCAATATAGCGATTTCACACACTCTCAGAAATATAAGTATGAAACTGTGACTGGGGCAGTACCCCTCTTGTCACTGGGGTGGTCCCCACAAGGGAACATCTCAGTACCTTTAATCAGGGAACATAATTGTACCATAATCCAGTGAAATTATATTGTCTAAATTGTAGACTCCACACACCCCGTCTCGTCTCCAGGCTTTTTTTATTTTATTGTTCTTTTTTAAACATTTGGTTATGCAACAACGTGAAAAAACGTATTTAAGGTTCACAATTGGACCTTAAATCCACTGTTGTATCTTTGAGGGATCATTTCCATTATTTGTACCACGGTGAACAAAAAAATGTACCTGCACAGCTCCTTTATTTCTAACAGTGCACAGTGGGAAAAAAAGTAATAATTTTAATGTTCACATTTGCTCCTACAGAGCAGAGTCCGCTCATTAGGTCAGATTAGCAGACTTTCATAATCGCATTAATTGAAATAAATAAAAAAGTGACCACCCACCCACTGCATTCACCCAGTGCATTAAACATAAAAGAGTCCGCGTGCTGCAAAAATAACACGTGAAGTTCCTAAAACCTTTCTGTAGGTGAGCCACATAAAGCAGCAGTGCGCAAGGGGGCTCTGAATTATGAGTTTATTAACAATTACATGAACAATATCCACAGTTCTTATTGACGCCTTCCTGTAATTAAAACTTAATGAGAAATCAAATTCAGAGTAATGCAGATTAGTGTAAATGCTGTGGACAAAAATAGCACAAGAAATTAAAGTGCTAATTAAATCATGTCACTTCTGCTGTAATAATGCTAATTAAATAATGCCACTTCCGGTAATACTGCTAATTAAATACGGTGACTTTCGCTATAATACTGCTAATTGAATACTGTCACTTCCGCTGTAATACTGCTAATTGAATAAATGATACTGTATCATGCATAATGTTTACCTTCAAACACAACAGCGCTAAAGATGATCAGAACACTAGCACATCACCTCAGACTGTCCGCGGGAATGTGACCCAGTGGGCGCTCTGAGGTCTGACCAGCGGTCAGTGGGTTCTACAGGCGGGTTTACTCTAGTGTATTTCTCTCTGGGCAGATATGATGTTTGAACGGACGCGTGTGTGTTCGGACGTTACCAGCCTGACCAAAAATAAATCTAAAACTCTGTAGTGTTCATGCAGAGTTGCTGGACACAGTATTTTATCAACATTTCAGACATATTGTGTCAGAGTCTTCAGTGTGATGTATAGACTAATCCCTTTTGAGTCGCTGGAGGAAATGAGGCTAACCCGCGGCCTGCGCCGGTGACAGAAAGCTGCCCCGCGGTGGGTTTTATATTTAGCCTTTAGGCTCCTCGTGTGCTCACAAGCGCGTGTGGTGGTCGCGGACATGAATGGTTTAAATGACCGCGCACTAACGCACTAATAATGCACTAATAAAGGAGTGATGCACGCGCTCAAAATGTCTAAAGTACCTGGCCCCTCCGATTTAGTCAGTATAATTAAAAAAAAATAAAAAATTAATTCTATGTATAATTTAGAGAGAGAGAGAGAGAGAGAGAGAGAGAGAGAGAGAGAGGTAATTTATATGTAATAATTTATTTATATGTAAAATGTATTTTTATATATATATATATTATATATATATATATATATATATATATATGTAGAATATGTTTGTGTGTAAGTGCATGTGTGTGTATGTACCATATATATGTTATACAGCTAAATGTATATAACAATACAATACTATATATATATATATATATATATATATATATACGCTTGGGTTTCATGGTCTGTTAAGAATCTGTTAACACACGAAATGTTCAAGTAAGACTCATTTAAATCATCAGAATTATGATTATATATAAACACGCAAAAAGTAATGTATTTATTTTACTTGATTAAACCGTTGTTTATTATTATGCTGATGTAATAGGCCTGTATTACATCAACATCATAATGACCAAAGGTAAAATACAGTTAATACAAGACATGTTATTTGTGTGTAAATGATGTTCACTACAATAGAATCGAGCAAATTTAATGCATCATGTTTTTTTCCGTGATATATAAAGAGACTATATGCAGTAGAATCAGAGTAGATTATTGTGCGGGCCAGTACATGAACACGGACACAGGTCAGTGCCGTTTGTGCTCCTTTTTTTCTCTTAGTCAATTCTGAGCTCCAGCGCTAAGTCTGCCTCAGTACTGGAGGCCAGTCTGACTCACTGGTTTTCAGGGAAAGGCGTTATTGAGGAACTGTAAACTCCTCCGCGTAGCCGTCAGGCTGATCGTGTCTCGTCGCCTCGCGCTGATGCGGGTGCAGATTTGGTAATTACACTCTGCGTTTGGCTCGCGGGAGGCATGTACAGCCGCGGTGCGAAAATGATCAGCACGCGGCGACCGAAACTCAGCGCTGGGGGCGCGTGATCCGCCTCGCTCGCCCACAAAAAAAGATGGGGCGGGGCGATGGGCGTTTTTTGTGCTCCTATTGGTTGCCTGCGAGGCTGATTGGCACGCGCCCCCCCTCGCCCGTCCAGGCCCTGATCTGTGGCGTTTTAACGGGTCTCGGACACTCGGTGCCTGCGCGCGCTCACGGACCAAAAGGGACCTTAGGAAAAAGCTCGCGGCTCCGTCTGATGGTAATTAAACACCGATCCAGATTACGCTTCAGTAGAAAAGAGCGGCTGCTGTTGCCGTGGAGGCGCGCGCGCTGAACTTTTCTCCTCCGCTTTTAAAACACCCAACACACGTCGGCATGGCCGAGAAACGGCGCTCCGCATGCACCATGAGCCTGAAGGCTCACGCGTTCTCGGTAGAAGCGCTGATCGGCGCCGAGAAACGGAGAAAGCTCGAAGAGGAAGAGGAAGAGGAGGAGGAAGAAGAAGGCCAGGGAGAAGAAGAAGGAGAAGGGGAGGAGGAGGAAGAGGAGGACGGAAGCTGCTTCGAGGAGGTGAGCGGGTGCTCGAGCCCGCAGGCACGCGCGGAGAGAACGAGCGGCGGAGACGGAGTTGGTGAGTGCTGAAATATTGACGCTGACACTGGATTCAGACCGACAGTGAGGTCAGACACGCATCTGGACAACCAAATACTGTCTTCATAAATTGTGATGAATAAACGTCTTCATAAATGATCCTTATCGAATTCATAATTCATGGTTCTTTGCCTGGTTAAAAGGTTCTTCTCTATGATGGGAGACCAGTTGTCTAAAGTGAGGGTCATCTGGCTTTTAAACCGTGGTTCTATTTAGCACACAGGAAGTTACAGAGCCTGTTTGGTACTATATAGAACCCTATTCGCTCAGAGTGAATATAAATGTTTTTTAGCTCGCGACTCCACAAAGCTGAAAATCATAAACTTCACAGCAAGATACAGTTTAAAATAGAAACGTAGTGTTTCATTTTATTAGAAAAATGTGCTGTTTATCTGATTTTTTTATTATTGAATTCATTGTGTTAAGTGTAATAATGCTTAATAAAAAAATAATAGAATGAGCAATTTAAAGTACCTGTTGGTTTCTGCAGCTGAAATTACTACATTACAGTCTCTAGGAAATAACAACAACAATAATAATAACAACAGCAGCAACATCAGTGGTTAAATAACTACTACTACTACTATTAATAATAATAATAATAATAACAGCAGCAACAGCGATTATATAACTGCTATTACGACTGTTATTACTACTCATTCTACTACTAATATTAGTGGTGATATTAATAATTATTTATCTTTTTATTCTTTGTAACTAGCCACTCGTGCATTATATAGCCTGTTAATTGCTCTGTGAAATATGAATACCCCCACCCCACCACAGCCCCTGGTGTTTGTGTGTTCATGTGAGCGAGGAACAACAGTGAGAGCGGACAGTGTAACATCACTCTTATTACACTGCAGAACTGAGTAATAATCTGCACTTAAGAGTGTCATAAATACAACAGTGTGTCGGGGGGGAGCTGGGGGGGCTGAAACTGAGCTGCGTTTATGAGCTCAGAAACACTGAAGAGCTGGACACGAAAAGGAGACAGGAAGAAAGAAAGAAAAAAGAAAGAAAGCAATGAAGAAAGGCATAGTGCTGGGTAAAGTGCACGCAATTCAGCAGTGCAGTTTGGTCTGTGGGTTTAATGTGGACTGAAACTCTCCCAGACTGAGCAGCCCGTTATTATTAAAGCCTAATTTCTGAAGTGTGAATGGGAAGAATCGCGTGGCCTGTTTCCTGCTGCCAGCAGAATTTATCTCCGCTCTTATTGCACTTCCATAGGCAGTAAATCCCGCTAATGACTTAATCAGGGGAAAGAGAGACACAGCAGCAGCACTGAGACCTGAAATAGCAAACAACACAATATCAAACAGCACATGGCTGCAGCACACAGATCACTGCAGAATGTATTAGTTTAATGCACTTCTGTATTATTATTATTATTATTATTAATGTAAGGTCACATTTCAGAGGACCAAATAATCATTTAAACTACATTATTACACTATTTAAAACTAACCTATTACACTATATCTAGAGCTCCTTACCTGCACGTGCAAACATTAGTATACAATAATGTGTAAAACAATTTAATCATTTGTATTATTATCATAACAACGTCGACATCAGTAACAGCAAAAAGAACAAAATAATAATAATAATAACAATAATTTAACCACAGGTTAGTATTAGATGTTGGTGTTATAACCGCTGTTAGAAGTACAGTGTAGTGTCTGTGCAGTTGTTATATTGTATTATTAAACAGCTGAGTGCGTCTTTTTATGACTGTATATTATTACTGTGTAATTACACTTGATTACTCCCGCATTCGGTCGTAAGGTCCAGTATTAAATGTTGCTAATTTGACCCGTGTTGTGTCCAGTTGAGTGTGAGACGGTGCTGCAGAGTCCCCGCTCCGCCCACAGCGCTCCGCTGCACGCGGGTCCCGGACAGGAAGCGCGCGTGGAGCTGCAGGGCGCTGACCTGTGGAAGCGCTTTCACGAGATCGGCACGGAGATGATCATCACCAAAGCGGGCAGGTAGGACAATAAACAAACAATAATAATAAAATACAGTAAAAATGCAAAGCAGCAGCCTGTATCGGCTACAGGACTGCAGCAGTGTGGTCTGCACGCTTAGCTAGAACAAACACAACTTTCATTCGTCCTCTCTTTAGTTTCTAAGAGCCACATTATACAGTTCTGCACGATCAGCCACTGAAATAAACCTTTTCTGAATAAAGCAAATCTACTGAGTTTAGCTTACAGACCCACATAACAGAATTAATCAAACATAGGGATTATTGTTTATTATTATTATCATTACTACTGTTATTATTGTTATTGTAGGCGAATGTTTCCTGCGATGCGGGTGAAAATCAGCGGTCTGGACCCTCATCAGCAGTATTACATCGCCATGGACATCATTCCCGTGGACAACAAACGATACAGGTAAACAAACAAACAAACAAACTCTGCACCTTTTACTGTAGACACATGGTTGTGTGAACTAATGAACATTATTAACCCCATGTTGTGAAAAAAAAGTAATAAATTAGAGTGAAATACTTTGATAGCGATGTGTTTTATAGGATATAAATATAAGAAGCGCAAACGGTTCTCCGGGAGGACTGCGGCCTTTTGGGCCTCTATTTTTGTACCTCTTCCTTTTGAAACTCTCCTTTTGGGCCGCGTGCTTTAACTTGTCCTTTTGGGCCTCTTCCTTTTGGGCCTGACCTTTTGTAATGACCTTTTGGGAGGGTGACCTCTAGGATCAGGCGACAAACGCAGCCCAAACAAACCCTTACAGCTTCTCACGCGCGCTCTGTCCTCCGCTCCCCCCGTGCAGGTACGTGTACCACAGCTCTAAATGGATGGTGGCCGGTAACGCGGACTCTCCGGTGCCGCCGCGCGTTTACATCCACCCGGACTCTCCAGCCTCAGGGGAGACGTGGATGCGGCAGGTCATCAGCTTCGACAAACTTAAACTGACCAACAATGAGCTGGACGACCAGGGCCATGTAAGAAAAGCAAACCTCACAGAAATAATACGTAATATTTATATAAATATGTATAACCCCAGTCGTGTTGTTGATTTTCTAAGTGGAAATAAGCGAACATTGATATTTTCTGTAAATTTTAGTGCACAGCTGTTCTGTATCTGCTGAGTTGAATAGATTTAAAAAAATAAAACAAAATTTAAAATGTGCCAAAACTTTTGCACACCAAAACATTTTGTTTTTTCTCCAGTATGTTCAATTCAGCGTATAAACACTGATTGTACATTAAACGCGCAGAAGTGTGTTCTTAGCAATTCTCAGACAATCAACAAAACTTGTAATTTAACTAGGGGTGCCCAAACCTTTTCACACAACTGTATTTACTCTTTGTTTTGGAAATGCAAGCCAACTTAACTTCTGAGTTAAATAGAATTTCAAGTTAAATAAACTACAAATCCTACTATTTATAACAACATAATAAATAATAATAATAATAATAATAATAATATACAGAAGAAAACTGTTTACTTAAGCCAATTAAGTACCACAGCATTTTTAATGACTCCAGGCCTACTTGAGAATTCTCCACTCTGATCTTTAACAAGGTTAAGCATTATAAATAGAGCAGCCTGCTCTCTTTATATACCTGTTAAAGACACATGTGCTAGTGATTGTCACCCCGTGTGCATTTTGTTTTGCTGAATTATTTTAAAGGCCTAAACATGTTGTAATGTGGAAGGTTGTAAACAAACTCAATTGAAAGCAACCCCCCGGGGTGAAACGGTTGAAGGCCTGTTTTGGGCCTTTGAAAATGTGAGCGTGTGTGTTTTTTTATTGAAGTAGAAAAGTGCTTTTGGTAATTCCTGCATTTCCTCACTCTAAACATGGATGCGCGGGTAATGTTTTCCAGATCATTCTGCACTCCATGCATAAGTACCAGCCGCGCGTCCACGTCATCCGAAAAGAGTGCGGAGAGGAGCTTTCTCCGGTCAAAGCTGTTCCCACCGGGGATGGAGTCAAAGCCTTTTGCTTCCCTGAAACAGTCTTCACCACGGTCACAGCCTACCAGAACCAACAGGTAACCCCCACCACACAGAGCATACCTAATTCACTTGTACACATGCAGCCATGCTGCACTGCATTTACTTGATTAGTCATTTCCAAATGTATAAAACAGCTGAATAACATCAATACAATTGTTGCCAAATAACAACAATGTGTCAAATTATTTAATTCACATGGCAATGATGTACACATTTGAATCAAATAAACTCAATGCATTTCTTTCTTCTGTATATATATACAGATGTATGCAAAAGTATAGGCACCCCTGGTCAAATGGCATGCTTTGTTGACTTTTTAAGTGAAAATATGTGAACACATCCTCTACAGAGAATACACGTCTGCACAGTTTAATCCACAATTGAACATATTGGAAATAAAATAAAACATAAAATTTAGCATTTGCCAATGTTATGGCACCTTTTACATATTACGTTTAATCTCTTTCCAATGTGTTCAACAAATAAATAGAAATTGTGCACTAACTGTTGCATATTTAAATTTTCCTGTAGAGGAAACTGTGTCAACTGATTTTCACTTGTAAATCAACAAAACATGTCATTTGAGTAAAGGCATTCAAACTTCTGCATACGAGTGTACACATGTATCCCACAATGGCCTCATGCAAGGGTCTGATTCCCAGCAGCTATCAGATTAAAAGGAGCTTTCTATTGAGATGCTTCATTTCAGTGTTGTTACTTTTATAAGCATAAGGAACATTTAGGAGGACCCCAATTCCCTTCACGATAATTCCGTTAGATGAGACAAGATCAAAGACTACTGAGGCCTGTGAGCAATACAAACAGTATAAAACACCTCATAAAGAGCAACTTACCCATAAATAGTAAGGCATTTCAAGTGTTTATTTAGTGTTGCTTATGGAGTTTCCTTGCAGGAGACAGAAAGATAATGCCTGATGACGGTTCTGCCATTTTGATTTTTAACACACGCATTCAGGCCTGGCCTTTTAGCTTTCATGATGTATAGTGACTTTCACTGTAGCTTAGGTTTCTGTTGGATGGCCTTTATGGCCTTTATTAGCGTGTGCACTTTTCCACTGCAGTGTGCCACAATAAGCAGTTTAGAGCTTTTGTAGAGACTCTCTGACTGAGCAGCTTTGTGTAATGTTGTATAGTTTGCTGAAACAGATTAGCATTCTTTGGTATATGATGCATTTCATAGTATCTGATGTCTGTTTTGGTAAAGATCTCTTTCACATCGTAGCATATAAAAGCCCTCGTGGCATATATATGCACTCATGCACTTTGGCATGCACATCCACATGGTCACAGACACACATTTGCAATTGCGACTTATAAAATAACCCACACACAGTGCATTACGGGCTAGGGGTCACTTGCAAAGGGTCAGAGAACTTGGCATAACAGGCTGTGGTTCAGTGAAAAAAAACCTGAGCGAGTTTTTGTGTGGATTTCCAGATCACAAGACTGAAAATAGACAGAAATCCATTCGCGAAAGGATTCCGAGACTCTGGCAGAAACAGGTAAACATTTTTCTTTTCAACATCATAAAGAGCAACTATAAGTGCATGCTGTGGTGGCATTAAGTGGTCAGATGTGCTTTTACTTTTACTAAGTGTTCGATTCTTTCTGTTGTATACTGCTGCCGTTTTCTTCTTTTTAGGATTTGCTGGTTGTGTTCTTCCTCTCTCCATCTTCTGACGTCAGCATGAAGTTATTTAAGAACCAGCAGGCCATATTAACGGATTATCTAATAATTATTTTTGCGAGACAAAAGTCCTTTCGAAGCCAAATTGAAAATATGGCCAACATTCCGAAGAGGCCCAGACAAAATAAATATGAAAAAAAGAAATAAAAACAGCGTCACAATAAAATCCATAATTCCATCTCCGAAAAAAAAAAATATGTATAAACACAAAAATAAAATCTGCGAGACAATAAAAATAATCTCCATCCTCACGTAAAAAAGGGGAAAAATAAATAATAAAGGCATAAACAGGAAATGGAGGTTGCCCAGTAATAAGGCGGTTGCGGTGCTGGCATGGAGTCTCATTGGGGGGGTTTTACTCTGCTCATTAGTTTTAAACGAGAGCGATTTTAACACTCTACTGAATCGCACCAGACCACATTTGCACCCCTCCTCCCTCCTTTTCCGTGCACTTTTCTCTCTCTCCTCAGCTCCAGCTCTCAGGGCCCTCGCACTGAGCCCTTCTCTCTTCAGCATTTCAGGAAAACTTAAGCGGTTTGCTAAACAAACTGAGCCACTGGGTAGCTGGAGCAGCACGGCTGATAAAAAAGTGGGGTCCAAACAACAAGTCGGGACATCTTGTGTGAGTTATCGCCTGAGTGGCAGCGAGGCGGGGGGACGGCCATGCTAACGAGGAGCACTGAGAACCACCATTACCTCCACACCTCTCTCTCTCTCTCTCTCTCTCCTCATAAAGCTTTAACTGTGGCTTCCTGCACTCTGCGTCTGATCCTACCATTAAGGCCGTGTGAAAATAATTACAGCCATGCAGAAATACCTGCAAACACACACACACATACACAGACACACACAGACACACACACACACACTTACTTTATGTTCCTCATTACATGAGTCCTGCCAAAAGCATGGCGATAAGGGGCTCAGGCTAAGATGGCTGCCGGTACTGGACGCTTAGTAATGGCAGCCAGTCACTGTTCTTTGCTCTGCCAACAAAACAGAGACTGAGTTCAATTCAGATTTCATTATCTTAACGTATCCATACTGTGTGCCGTATTCTTTGGCTCCATTAACTGTCTGTGTTTTAAGGCTGTTTTATGCATCACTGTACTAGTGTAAGGGTTTTTTCTTGCAGGATGGGGCTGGAGGCCCTGGTGGAGTCTTACGCTTTCTGGAGACCTTCACTGCGAACTCTAACGTTTGAGGATATACCAGGAATGACCAAACAAGGTACAGAGTAATTCTCCTGTCTTGAAAAGCACATGTATATATGCATGTGTGTGTGTGTGTGTGTGTGTGTGTGTGTTTGTGTAATTTTTGCACATTGTTTAGATCAAAAATGTCCTGACTTTGTAGGAAAGCCACAGAAAATCAGGGCTTAAATTAAAAGACCAACAAAATGGTCTGGACTTTGTAAAGTGCTTTTTACTTTAACATATAGGTACTTACATATATATATATATATATATATATATATATATATATATATATATACACACAAGGTCTTTGGGACATATTATTATTACTTATAAAATACTGTGCAAAAGTCAGAGACCGCCCTTCTTTTGTTTATTTAATTTCCAGTCAAAACGGCCTTTAAGTACAAGTTATTCATTTTTCAGCATCAGGAAAAGGTTAAACATATATTTAATAGAACGTTACAGAGAAGCCTCCACACTTGATAAACCATACATTTTTCAGTATATAGTGTGTCAGCCCTTTGCTTTTATTTCAGCTTCTATTTTTGGGAAATTTGTTTTTAGTTTTTTAAAGAGATCTGCAGGAATGTTTTCAACCCATCTAAAGTTTAGTCTTAGAAGTTGTTTACATTTTCTGTTTCTTATAATCCAAGTAATCCCACTTAATGTTAACTGATCAGTCCATAAAACCTTACTCCACATCTCAGATGTTCTATTGCAGATTTTCTTCTTGTCTATTTCTTTTTCTCAGTAACAGCTTTACATCCTTTCAGATCTATCTTTCAAAGACGAAAGCTTTAAGAACTGTTTATCTGATGAATGACAGTTTTGTTGGTCTATAAGGTTTTGCACAGTTGTTGAAATTCCCAAATTTTAATGCTATAGTTTAGAAAAACTCCTGTTTTCTCACTTATTTACTGTCTCTTTCCTAATGTAGGAGTGCTTCTGTGTTATTTTTTGTTGAATTGTTTTTTTTATAATGCTGAAAAATTAAGAACTTGTACTTAACAGCCAGTTTGACTGGAAATACAGAGTAGTCCAACTTTTGCACAGTATTGTAGGTACTTACGTTATATGATATATATGGGATATATTATTACAAACATTTATATATTTACACATATAGGACATATATATGACCCCACACGATGACACTGTGTAAAATAAAGACCCTTGCATATACTCCGGGTACTTTTGTGAGTCATTCTGGATGAGAGTGTCTGTTAGATTTAAATTGTGTTGTTTGTCTCGTGCAGGTGCCGCTGGTACCCATGGAGTGGTCGGGTCTTCCGCTCACACACATTTACTCTCCACATCACCCTGCTCCTCCCCAGCATTTCACCTGGCATCTGGGGCGGGGCCTGTATGTGATTACTCTGCATGCAGTCGAACGAGCCACCCTCTTCATCGGTTTGCCACACCCCTCACTGCAGACTCCTACAGCCGACTGACCAGCCCTGCCGCTGATGCTTTTTCCTCCACCAGAAACCCCACCTATGTGGGCGGGGCAGATGGTGAGGCTTTTTCCTGCACACAGACTGGTCTACCAATCCAAATCCCTGGGATGCCTGGCCACGCCCCCCAGCTCCAGTATTTTATGCCCAGTCCTGCTCACAATGCTTTTTCCACCAATCAGAGCGCACAGAGCTCGTATAACGGTTTTCGGCTCCATAGTCCATATGGTCTCTATGGATACAACTTCTCCACCTCTCCGCGATTGGCTGCCAGTCCTGAAAAGATGGCTGCCACGCAGAGCTCAGTGCTTGGGTCCTCTCCCAGTGGTACTTTGACAGACAGGCAAGTTCTGTCCCCTGTTGACAGTCTGCACATGCTCAGCGGTGCTCAGCAATCTCTATTTGACTCACGGACATTAGGGCTAACAAGTTCTGCCTCTCAGGTTACTGCCCACATGGCCTGACCTATGCACATGACCTCTGACCCCTACCATGCCACAGACACAAACAGGTGGACAGAACTGTGTGGCAGTCGCTTTGTTTCATAAAGCTCGACTGGACAATACTGAGACATTACAGATGCAGGTAAGGAGCGATGGGATATTTCAAACTGATGAAGCATTCTGTCCTTGCCCCTTTAAGAGATAAGAAAGCCAAAAGAGGAGAAACCAAGGAGCAATCAAAGAGACAATTTGCAGTGTTAGTTATTTGTGGCACTAATGTCAACTGGAGGTCACAGTGAGACCTTGGCTTGTTTTTAATAGAGATTTCCCTCTATTAAATACCTTAAAATATCCTGTGAGATTCTCCACATAGTTAGAAGCTCCTGCAGCAGCAAGACGTTAACAATGGAGCCAAGGAAGCCTGCTGCAGCTAGGAAACAAACGTATCTTTTCAAATGGGACTGAAATTAAGTTTCTGCCAAATAGGACTGAACTGGACAAAGACAGAGAAAGAATGGACACCAAGTCTGCTCTAAGACGTGCTTTGGAAGCCCTGGGAGCACTTCCATTTCCAAGACCTGATGCCAAAATTCAACCTCTCTCTAGAGAAAACCACAGCAAACAGTGGATATTCATCTGATTTTATGGCTGGGAGAGGCTCCTGGTAGGCCTGACCTAGAATCAGGATTAGATTCATACAAACTCAGCAGCTGACAGCTTAGGAGTCCAAAAATGGGAGGTGGCCAATGTCACAGCACAACTGAAGCTAAAAGGGCCTTTACTTAGGTGCTAAATAAAATGTGTAGTTTCACTGGAACTAATTCAGGCTTTGGCTCTGAGAGCAATTGGTACGGCTTGGTATTAGCCTAGCTTACAAGCAGGAAATCAGCAGCAGACTGTATTGGTTTAGGGCCGGATGCACAGATTTAGCTCTTTCCAGTGTTTATGACCTGAATGATGTTCAGCTAGCAAGCTAGCATCCATTCACAATCATAGTTTATGGGGTATAAGCTGAAATCGGAAAGGTAAAGCAGCAGGTAGGAAAAACGAAACATTGGAATGTATTTACAAAGTCACAAGGTTTTTTTTCTGAATGGGTTTGGCTCTCTGACATGGTATCTTTGACCACCATAGACAGGTGGAAATTTGATCGTAGATCAGCACTTCTCTGCTGGGTTGATTTATAAATGCAGGTCCTGGCATCGTTAAACATGCATACAGGCGCAAATGCAGGCTTTGGCAACAACCATCAGGCTCCTCTGCTGATCCTGAGTCAGCTTTTAGTGCCACTTTCACTGAACTGTAGCAGAATAGTCAGGCTTCAGCGATTCAAAAAACAGTCATTTTTTTCCCAAGCAGACATACTGTATAGCTTTGATATGTCTGTCTTTTTTTAACAACTCTATATAAATTAGGCAAAGATGGATATTAATGTTATTGTTGGAAGATTCACTCATGCACTTATGTCAATTTTACTTTTTTTAATGCTCAATCTTTGAAATCTTTATGGCTTGGGAATTACGAGAAAACCCTTTGAGCCAAATAAAATGTATACATACTGTAAAAACTGATAAGACTATGAGATTTTTGAGCATTAATCAGTGTATGTATGTTTTAGAAGGAGTCATCACTTGGTGTGTTTTCACTAAAAGTGCATGAGTGTGAGTGTGTGTGTTTGTGAGTGTGTGGGAGTGAGTGTGTGCATGTGTGTGTGACTGCTGTAAAGGGTCTGAAGAGTTGGCAATTTTAAAGTATCACTCTCTCCATGATGTAATTATTAACTTATGTAAGCTCATGTCACTTGTTTAAGATACATTAAAATGAAAGCAAACTTAACTGATGTGGCTGTTTAACACAACATGGCACTCTACAACGTTAACTGTGCAAAAGTCAGACACTACCCTTCATTTATTTACTTTCCAGTTAAAATGACCTTAAGTACATGTTATTCATGTACTTTTCTGATTAGGTTAGATATAAGATAATCCACTTGCACAATGAATTAAAGAAGTAAAAACTGGAGTTTTGAAAACCAGAGCTAAAAAATGTAAAAACAATTAAAGATACAGAAGAAATAGGAATACCTTGCAAGAAGTGATAGTCCACCAAAAATGTCTCCATCAGATAAACAGCACTTAAAGCTTTCATCTTTGAGAGAGAGGAGACAATCAAGCTCTACTCTTGCTTCAGATCTGAAAATGTCCACAGGTGTTCTGTCCATCCTTCCACTGTGAGAAGACAACTTAACACTATGAGTCTAAAAGGATGTGTAGCTGTTAAGAAACGCTCACTGAGAAAACGAAAGATAAAAAAGAAGAAAATTTGGAAAAAAAAAAAACAAAGAAGCTGCTGGTGTTCTCAGAGCAATAGACTGACCAACCCAGAGTCCAGACCTCAACATCACTGAATGTGTTTGGGATTACTATGATCATGAGATTCAGAAAATGCATACAACTTATGAGACTGAGCTTTGGAAAAATATCCCTACATATATATTTGAAAAACTTAAAACAAGTCTCCCAAAAAGAACTTGATATTATATTTATATAATTTATACATTAATAAATATAATATCAATAATACCAATTTATTATTATTACTATGAGTAATACTACTACTACTCTTATTAATAATAATAAAACTAGTTAAATCTGGTATGTCCAAGTGTTGGATACGTCTCAAACTTTGAACTATAAGAAAACATAGTTTGCCTTCTTTCTTCAAAAGCATAGACTGAACATCACTATATTTGGTCTTCTCAATAACAACAATAGCGCAATAACAAGCTTATCTTACTGATTTAAAATCACTGTGTAACAGTATACCAAACAGTACAGTGTAACAATAACAGCATTGTAAAGTGAAAATCATAGCAGGACTTTAAGTAATTCAAGTTATCATTTTCTAAGTATTCAAGTATTCCATTACATTTAGTAGTTTTTAAATCTGTTTTTTGTAAAAAGCCTTTTGTCAGCAGATAGTAGATCAGAAAGCCAAGCACTCGTCCCTCCAGAGTTCAGGCAGTAATAAAAGTGTAAGCAGCTGTCATCAGCGTGTTACTGTTTGGGTGAAAACTGTAAACCAGTGTAAAATTACAGGAGTCATCAACATGGTTACTGTGTGTATGTGTGTGTGAGTGTGTGTGTCAGTGCTCATGCATAAGAACAAGGCGGAGAAGCCACAGACACTACTGTGTTAGCCTCTTCAGCTCTTCAGTCTTTGAGTGTGTTATTTTGGAGAATGCATTTCTAAGCTTACTAATATTAGTGCAGATTTACTTAACTGTAGGACCAGAAAGTTTATTGCATAAAAAATGTATGGATTCATGTGTAATGTGTTTGTATTTAGACTGCATTCAAACTTGCATCACAAACTCAGAATCAGAATCACTTGCATGTATGAACGTGAAAAAATTTAAAGAGCTATTTATCTGGGCGGTAAGCATTTATTTCCTCACAAAAGACACTAATATTAAAATAAATGCAAATAACATGAATATGATTAATAAGTAGTGATTTCATGTTTGCCAGTGTTTTTGCTTAAACATTTCCAAATAACTCTTTGAAGAAGCTCAGTATGAATTGAGCCCCTCAAATGAAAAACTCTATATTAAACATTCCACCTTTATTTTGGACTATTAGCTATTCAATTTTCTATTTTTTTTTTGTACAACTTTTTACAATAAAAAGCAAAACTATGCTTTATCTGCATTTTAGTGACCACTTTGTTCAGATACAGGGCATCAAGCAAAAAAGTGTTACAAAAAAATGTAGAGAGTTGCTGTTGGAATTTTAAAAAATATATGCAGTTGGTGAGATCTGGGATCAAATGCGTTCTTCTGTTCAGCTCACAATATATCAACTGCTTTTTAAAAGCTCTGGTTATTTTTACTGCATAAATATTGTTTGTTTTTACTCTAATGTTAATTTGAAAACACAATACAGTTATAATAAATACCGATTGAGTAAAATAAATATAAAACACAGCCACACACATAATAACCACTAAATATACACATGTACAGTATGTAAACTGAATGTGCAGGGTATCTGCAACAGTACAGATCAGCTCAAACATATAGATCAGATTTACAGTGTGCTGTATTTAGACTATTTCTGTGCTGTCTGCTCTTTGACAGCCAGGGAGTTTCTTGTAAACTGAAGGCTGAAGGTGAGCAGGGTGACAGACAAACAGCATATGCAGAGAAAGAGGGAGAGAGAGAGAGAGAGAGAGAGAGAGAGAGAGAGAGACAGAGATGGGGGCCAGGGGTTGTGCTTTATTTTAGGACAGAGGAATGATTGGCTTGCTGAATTTGACAGACAGGTGACAGCTCTCCTGCCTGGCAAAATCTGACCACACACACACATACACATAATCACACACATAATGACGCACAAGCACACACACACTCTATCTCGCATAGCTTATCGATGTGGGGCTCATTATCAGTACATCTGAGGACATTAACACTCTGGTTGGCAGGTGCTCCGGAGAGCTGGCAGAGTGTATGTGTGTGTGTGTGTGTGTGTGTATGTGTGCACACATTTATCTACAGCAATATAACAATATAGCACAACTTACACGCGTAAGAATCATAATGCATTGTTGTGCAGTAGTTCAGTGTTAATTATAAGGTGGTGTCACAATGTTTTGACACATATCACAGCTCAAAAAAACATAATTATATGCATCATGGAGATGTGACAATGCATCGTGGAGAATAGGCATTCTAATAATTATGCCTTCCAATTTAACTGCATTGTTTGAACATCAAACTACCATCACCAAGCAGGAACCCAGCCCAGCATGTTCATGTTATGCGAGTCACTCCTTCCGCCTTCTTCTCTATTGTCATTAGTAGATTTTGCAACAACATGAAGAGTCACCGATTCTTCTCATTCTCAGTATCGAGAATCAAATTGAATCCTGGGCTGAGAGTATCATTACACCCATAATTATAAATAGCTACACTGTTATGTTATGTTGTTACATTGTTACATTGTTGTTGACTTGCATTTGGTTTATTAGTCTACTCAGAAACACCCTGTGCCATTTGCTACATGAAACTTCTGCACCTGGTACCTCTGCCTGGACACAGCCAAGTCCATTTATAATCTGTCCCACCCTGTCTGACTCTTACAGTCCAGGCTACATATAATGCACAAACTACTCCAACTTCCCTTACACATCCTTTTTCCACCCTTTCTTATCCTCTTTTTTTAATCATCTGAAAATGCCAGCTGTTGTTTACATGATGTGAACCTTTCATGATGACTGGATCCATAGAAATGATCCTAAAGTACTCAATACATTCACATCATTATGAATGTTTTTATTTCTCCTGTAATGAGCTGGAGATGGGTTTTCTTTCCTGACAGCAATGACTTTATGTTTTGTTAATATATTTGAATTAAAGTAAAAGAGTAAAAAGAGTAAAAGAGACTAAAGATCTAGTTCTAAAATCTGATTTGTTGAAGCCACTGTTAAATACTTGATATTCACATAAATAAAGAGCCATCAATTGACCAAACCATGCTCCACCCACTAATGCCTTCTTTTTTAGCTACTGTTGCTAGGTTGGACAAGCTTTATAGAGCCTACTGAGAAAGAGTGCAACTCTACTCTCTACTCAACTTTTTCCCAAAATATGTATATTGTTTTCATCAGACTGCTGCAATGTTTGAGTTGCTACATAGTATGCTAAGATTAGCTTGATTATCTGAAGAAATGAATAAATAATCCAGTCAGTCCTAGAAGTGTCACCCTACACACACAGACAAAATATATTGTAATTTTAAATGAATAACTCACTCTGACTGTTTTGATGAGTTGTCTGCCACAGTTTCTGGGTTACATGGGATTTTCTTGTAACAGCTGTTTCATAAGCACACATTTGTGGGCAGAGCATCGATTAGTCAATTGAATGTGGTTTTAAACGCAGGGGCATCATAGGCCAGTTTTAGAGGCGCCTTCACATTTTTCATATTTTGTTGTTAACCGTTAAAGTTAAAGTCAGTAAAAGGTCATATAATGTCGATCATAATTTTATATCCCTCAAATCCTCAACCAGTAGAAATTAGGAGGCGACAGCTCCGTTGAAGGCCAGTCAGATATGACTTTTATCAAATAAAAAATAAAAACATTGATCTCTCATTATTTTCTTGAGTTCTTGTGAATCTGAGTTTTATAAAAATAATGTATTCCTAAACACGTGGAGAGAGAGACAGAGAATGAAGGAGACTGACAGGACTGAAGAAGCAGATCTAATTGGAGGTTAGTGTTCAGGAGAAAGCAAGGGAAAGCTGTTTAAGCTTTCAATTAAATACTGAATTTAACTGAACTTAAATGAAAAAATATTTGCCACTATGACAT